AAAAAAAAAAAAAAAAAAAAAGCGCCATGAAGGATGTACTAGATAAGCACAATGAAGGGAGAAATGAGACAGGATGATGAGCGCCAAAAAGAGGGACAGCAGAAAAATCACCTCATGCTCTCCTCCTTGGGTCACCTACCCCCACACGGACATTCACTTGTGCAGTTCGCCTGGTCTGTGAAAACCCTTGCCCACTCCGCATGGCCCGCCCCTGCTACGCCGCGTTCAACAACGAGTGCACAGACGAAGCGAAGCTCATGAGCTGGATATACTTCGTCGCCCCGCTGTGCAGGCGGTAGTCGTGGCGCGACAGCTCCAACAAAATCTGGCTCTTCACTGAATCCTGGTACTCTGTATTCATAACAAAGTAATTATTAAGCGCTTTAAAAATGTACGCAACGTCGTACCCATCCTCAATCACGTCCTGCACAGCCTTCTCCACATTTTTTAAGTCCTTCATTTTGCACGCATCAATAATCTTAGAAATAATATCATCAGCTGGCAACCCGGACACGTCCAACACAGATTCGAGTGTTATCGTGGGATCAATACATGAACACAGTTGCAAAATGGACACTGCTCTTCGCAGATCCCCTTGAGTGGTCTCGATAATTTTATCCAAAGCGTCATCCACAATGTTAATCCCTTCACTTTTGCAAATGTAAAGTAACTTCTCCTTCTTTATATTAATTGGTATACCTTGAAATCGGTAACATGAACACCTACTATATATCGGGTCAGAAATTTTATGAATATAATTACATATCAATATAAACCTTGTTACGTTGGAATAAATTTCAATTATTCTTCTCAATGCTGACTGTGCATCTTCTGTCATCATGTCCGCTTCATCCAAAACGACTAACTTCCATGGCGGTAAGGTTTCATTCGTCTCGCTGTTTATTTTGTTTTTACTTATACTTATTCTTGTGTACGCTTTTATTTTTTCCCTAACCACATTTATCCCTCGGTCATCTGAAGCGTTTAATTCAAGCACACGTTCGCTTATGTTGTCTCTTCCAAATAATTCATGCGCTAAAGCGTTGATGGCCGATGTTTTTCCTGTGCCAGGGGGACCGTGGAAGATTAAGTGCGGCATGTTCTTCGTCCGCACCACCTCCTTCAGCATGGAAACTGCGTTCGTTTGGTGCACAATGTCGTCCAGCTTCTTCGGCCTGTATTTCTCCACCCACGGTAGGTTGTCCATCGTGCTGCATTGCGGGGAAAAAACAAAATAAGTAAATAAAGAAGCAAACACATACACAAACAGACAAATAAATGTGCCAAAGTTGGCCTTCTTAAATGGATCACACACGCGCTTTCTTATAGGTGCCCCCTCCACCCCCACAACGGACCACTCTGCACGTGTGGGAAACACCTCGGGAATGGAGCAACATTGGCGCACAAAATAAGGCAGCTAGCCAAAAGGTGTTTTTTTTTTTTTTTTTTTTCCTCTTGTTCAGGTAAATTTTTCAAAATAATGCACATTGGGGCCAAGTAGCTATTATTTAGCTGCAGAATTTGCTGCAACTACTGCCTCGCTCACACAGTCTGCTTATCCACTTATTCAGAAATAACCATAGAATGGTGAACATTTGAATGTTCCCTTGTTTGACAATTCGACCGGTCTACACCAGCACAACTGTGGTTTTCTATTTTTCCCTAGCACATGCGCATACTTTCCAAACGGCAACTTTTAGGATGTCTCCTAACGTGTGCAAGAATGTGTGCACATATATATGCCTGTATACCCATTCAAGTAGGCACAGTGGCATGTGAAATTCCCCCATGTGCTCACTCACGCGCTCACCTGATTCTTGGTTAACGTGGAGAATCCTCTTCCAGGTATGCTTCCTCAAAGTATGGATGGACTGACTGACTGTTCCTCTGTTTTTCCCAACAGTGTGCGCCTTCTGGAATAACTTATGCCCTGTGCGATGCTGTGCCAGCTGCGAAGGCCGAAGGTTCATAAACAAATACTGCTTTGAACAGCGGTGATTAAAATGCTTCCTTCTCCTGTTGATTTCCTCTTTTTTTTTCGTTTCGCCCACTTTTCAACTCTTATAATTCTGTGAACTGGGAAGCAAGTGTACACGGCGCGATATGTAAATTGCTTTTTTTTTTTTTTTTTTTTTCATGTGCACAAAATTTGACGCGTACTACAGGCGAGCAAAGGGAGTCGTTTACCAAAAGGCTCAAACGAAAAGACGTACATAACAGCGTGGGGAAAAGGGATTTCATGGCCTCGCCAAATATACACATCCATGCGCACAAGAAGAAATAAGTTCCACGCGAATCAACCAAAAGGACAAAATAATTCCCCTTGTGATGGAGAAGCACACCGTGTGAAGCACATAAAAGGGCTAATTCCCCCGTAGGGCCCACTTCTGCACCAGGTGAAAATTAAAAATATTTTTTCTTCTTTCTTTTTTCATATTCCCCCATATATATCTACATACATAGCGCCAAACTGCGTTGACAACGTTTCTTTTTGAACAGTGCATTTGCAGAAGTGATCGAGGCACATTTGTTCATGCTAGCTATTTTGTCCCCTCCCGCCCATTTAGGTGCATCGAAAAGGGGTAATGCAGAACCGACCACATATCGGCGTTTTCACTTCGCTGCAAACCTAAGGGGCCGCAAGCAGCTTTTTGCTAAGCCCATCCCCGATTTGGCATTAAAAATAGTCACGCTGATCAACCAACACCTACGCACATAAGTAAGCACACATAAGCACGAACCTTGTGTATTTCAACACTTGCATTAAATATTAGTGCATATATATTCTTTTTCACGTAACAGAACATAATGTGAAGAAATACACATAAATGTTGATCCCCGTCAAGTGTTTCCCCACCCCTACTTTGATTAAAGTCGTATCACCAATAGATCCTTTTAGAGAGCCATTGCTAGTAGGAATCTTAACGCTGCATCAGTGCGAGGCTCAAAATTGAATGTGTAGTTTATGGGGAAGCCCCCGAGTACACATAAGGATGTATAGTCATATGCATAAGTATACATTCCACCACTACCCTCTTCCCTTCCATTGTGAACCAAGCGTGCGCTTGAATTGTGCCCATTAATATACGTACAACTACACACTTGCTACTACGCCTAACCAGTGGAGCATCAAGTGGATTAGGTTATTGTTGCACCCCTAGCTCACCCAAAGTTGACCCCACGTTCGTACAAACGTACTCGCGAGTGACGAGCCCCATTAGTTTTCATCTTACCCCCCACACCCTGGGTAAACCCATACAAAAAAAAAAAAAAAAAAAAAAAAAATATTAATGCAAAAGCTCAAAGTTCTGAAAAACTCCAACGTCACCACTGTTTTATTACCGCTAAGAAGAATGGCAACATCAGGAAAAATCACCCTCAAGTTGGATTCCCTCAACAATGAAATGTTTAAAGCGCTAAAAGAAAAAACGCTAAGTCTGAAGAAGGAGAAGCTGCACGTCCACCTATCCGAAAACAATTTAAACGTAACACCAATTGAGAAGTCATGTCCCCTCACCTTTTTTATGTTGAAGCATAAGTACAAGATAGACACCCAGAGTATCCAAATTAAGGTGGCAAGTAAGGACTCTGTCGGACAGGGCAGTATCGTAAATGGAGTGAATGCCTCCCTTACACCAAGCGAACCTTCTCATAGTGACAATACCCATGTAGGGGAGAAAAGCTTACCCAAGGGGGAAACCAAGGCGGATGTTAGCAACGGCGCTAGTGCAACTGGAGGGACAAACTTCTTGGATTCGTTCATCCAGTTCAACATCCCCGTTCTGAACGAATTAGACCGAGCCTACTTCTACAAACACATCATTGAGATAATCGACACGCTCGCTGCAGACGTTGTGTACAGACATAGCATAGGAGGGTACAAAAAAAACGACAAGTACAATTTTGTCACAGTCCTGTTTAACAACTTGAAGGTGTACGAAAAGAGCCAACTCCACCACGAGTTTTGTTTCTGCCTTTATGAACAAAAGCCACTGACCATCAACTGTTACGTTGTCCATTCGGGGAACACCTCATACATATTGAAGTTGGATTTCTTCCAAGAGAATAATCTTATTTTTGACATATACACAACGTTTGTAAATATAAACAGCTTAACATTCAAACCGCAGGAAGTGGTGCCTGTTATTAACTCGCACCAGAATGAGAAGTACGAGCAGGTAAGTCTCTTTGCGGCCCACCTGAAGGATGTGCAAAATTTGTTTAACCACAAGGACGTGAAAAATAATTTTTTACAACAGGAAGATATAAACTTCATGCTGGATTATTTTAAAAACACTCCAGTGCAGAAAAAGACCTATGAGAAAAATGAGTACCAAACTACGGACATTTTTGAGTATGGCCATGTTCAGGCAAAATTGGCCAACGGGGGGAGCGCGTCAGGAGCAGCTCAGACTGCAACCAACGCGCAGGGAAAAAACGCCCTAACCATCATCGGACACATTTTGGACAAAAACGATATAGCCTTCTACACGGGCAAAAATAACTTCTACTGCAAAGATTCTTACATTGAGTCGAAGAACTTCATATCTTCGGAATTTAAAAACATTCACAACGTCACCTTTGGTGGATACCTCGCGTACCGCTCCTTCTGTCACGCCATGACCATAATCAAGCACTACGTTGCTCGCCCAGTCCTTATCGAGTTAAACGAAGTTCAGTACATTCTGCCCGTACCCTGCAACTCTGTTGTATCGTTTAGGGGCAAAGTGATTTATTGTGATGCTGAAAAAATTCAAATAAAAATTGCAGCTTATTGTTTTGACCTGAAAAAAAATGCTTACTACTTAACCACCATTTTTGACATGTCCTTTGAAAATAATTCAGAAATATCGTTCATTCCCCAGACCGAGGAGGAGGTTAAACTTTATTTGTTGAGCTACATGCGTTCGCAGCTACTCCCCTAGCGGGGGGAGATTTCCTTTAAGGGGGTGTGTGCAGTGCAGGTGACATGCTTGGCATGGTCCTGCTTTTCCCCCTGTATGCAACATAAATGAGGCACCTTTGTGTGTATGTACACCTTCACAGCAGCTAGCTAGCTAGCTATTGCAAACTGTAGCTATATATATTTTTTTTTTTCTGACCATTTCAAAAAAAAAAAAAACAACAAAAATATGACCGTTCAGGCGATTCCCAACAAAGCAGACAAAAACGAGCAGCACCTAGTTGAACTGACAACCACTTTAAGAATAAAAATGAGTGTACTTTTCAGGGGACATGTCCCTCAGCCAAAATGTCGCCCATCCCTGAGGGAACGCTCAATTGGAGGGGAGGTGGCCAAATTGTAACACCTCTTTTATCTCCCAAATCATGCTATGTTAATAACTCCTTTCTCTTTATTTCATCCCTAAACGGGGACTGCTAAATATTGTGCGTTTTTTCGAAAATTAGCTTTTAAAACGAAGTGGTCTTCGTTCCGAGATAGACTTGCGCAGTGGCTAAACGGTTCGCAAAGGGCACGTGTGCATTGGGCAATTGTACATGCAATAGTTGTCGTGATGGTAAAGAAAAAAAAAAAAAAAAAAAAAAAAACACAAGGGGAACGAAAAGAAAGGGAATCCCTTACGGGTAACTAAGACGAAGTGACCTGTTCATCCCTTCGCCCCTAATTTCCATGGATAGACCCATTACCCCCTCTCTAGCCTACAACTGCGATGGGTTGACATGCTTGGATGTTTCCTTTCGTACTCTTCTTTGTTCTCTCGATCTAACTCTCACAAAACGCGAGTGAATGGCGCATGAAACGCAATAGCACTGCTTGATGTACAATTTCGGTAACTGAAATGTGGAGTAAACTGAGGCCTCCTTTATATCTCTCTGAGCGGACGTGTCGACGATATTCCTAATGTTGAATCTTTTAATGGCCTTGTCCTTGGGAACACACCTTCCACAGTTGGAACACCTCAAGGGGTTCACGTGGCCTCGGTTGTGCTTGGACCTTCCTCCGTTTCTGCGTTTCTTTGGCATTTTGATGGGCGAAAACTGCGGTGAATGGGGGAAAACGGGAAACAATGAACGGTTTGCGTTGGGGAAATCGAACAAGGCATTAATAGTTGCGTGGGGGAAGCAGAAATGCAAATTTGGTCCCTCCCATGGTGACGGAAAAAATGAAGCCTCTTGTTGCGGCCCTCATCCGTACGCCCATTTATAATACAACAGTATTAACCCACTGTTCAGCTCATCTCTCATAGAGAGGGGGCACAAAAAAAAAAAAAAAAAAAAAAACAGCCATCTATCTCAATCATGCGTTTTATAACCCTTCTACGCGTTTTCCATTGTGCATACGTGGTGAATACTCACAGGCATACGCAGGTATATCTGCGCGCCTAAGCATCAAGTGATGTGAGCGTTCATGAGGCCTCTGCTTTTTTGGTTCTTACCTGTTGAAATTTAAACTGTAAAGATGGCGTTCAAAAGTTTCAGCGATGTTTATCCTCCTCGCCTTTATGTTGTAAGGTAATGGTAAATGCGACGTGAATAGGTTTTGTTGCTTTGGTTCGATTTGTCACGACAGGAAATGGGGGAATCTAAAACTGCTCAGATGAGTCACAAGGATAATAAAAAAAAAAAAAAAAAAAACGTAAAAATTAATTTTGCAAAAAGGAATTAAAATTCAAATTGGCAAAAAAAAAAAAAAAATTACCTAAGTAAACTTGTGAGGTTCGTTTATGTAAAAATAAATTTTCTTCAGTGGGGTTTTATGCCAAAGGTATGCTCCGCACATATACGCGTGCTTACGGAGATATAGCGTTAATTTTATTTGTACCAATTGTGTACAACGCAGCGGGTTACCCGTCACTCGCAAAACGAGGAACGCAACAATATATTATAGTGGGAGAAAAACCCAAGTATATAGTATGCTATATTTTACTTCTCAGGATTGTGAAAAATGCGCAACGGTGCCAGGGGCTAGAGCGCGAGTGCACATTATCCTGTATATATGCGTTTGTGGTCGCTATCCTGGGAGCCAAACCCCTTTAAAAACCCCTTTTTTTTTGTGATACTTTTCCTATAAATAGCCCGTATGTCACAAGTAAAATCCATCAGGGTGGAACCGATAATATCACGCCAACGTTTGCGATGAGATGGATGCATTTTTCTATAAGCATTCAAATCCGCATTTGTTTACCACCCCAATGTGTTGCTACATTTCCGTAAATTATGCCCTTTGATGTTTTAAAAAAATAAAAGGCAACTTTGTTTTTTTTTTTTTAACTATATTTATAGAGGAAAAGCGGAAATAAAAATTTCCATGTGGCATTCAGGTGAACGGTTCGTCGTTCTTCACGGAAGGAACCATAACCTGACACAAAGTACAAGGAATAAATACCACAAAAAGAAGAAAAAAAAAAATACAGTTCTGTTTGGTCCCTCAAACATTTGAACGGAATTAACTCTACTTTGTAAGCTTTTCTTTTTGAAGAAGCCATAATGCTTCATTTTTAATTTGTCAAAGGAGATTACATGTGGTTCTCACAAACGACAAAAAAAAAAATGTTAATTGTACTGTTTAGAATTGCAAAAAAAAAAAAAAAAAAAAAAAATATGCATTAAAAAAATAACCAAATAACCACTCCCGTTTTGTATTACCCCCCTTGCGATTCTTTTTTAAACAAACATTTTTTACGTAACTATTTTTATCGTTCATTTTGGTCCACGTGTTCACAACTGCCGAAAATGCTACCTCCAGGAAACAGACCCGGAACGTAGGACTTTTTATTGAAAAGTAAATTTCGTGGTAATTAGTGTCCTCGTTTAGCATTGTCATCGACAGGGGGGTCTGTTACTTTGAACTGACTCACCTACCAGGGAAACCATTTCGAAGTTTAAGAAGCATACTGTAGGAAGTAAACCGCAAACGCGTAAAGGTGAAAAAAACGTGCTCGTCAAACTGACCTACGGAAATGCTCAACTCAGTCCACCCCCCCCCGAAAGGACGCACAAAACAGATCGAACGACTGTCTACATTCCCAACTGTGGTGTGTACGTCACCTACTCCCATGAATGCACACTCGTTTTGAAAAAAAAAAAAAAAAAAATTATGAACCGTTCATAATTTTTGTTCTTCAATTTCTATTTTCCCGAACTGCCAATCTGTCCACATGAATTCAAAACGGGTAAATAATGTGATTAGCCTTTTGATTAACGAAATAAAAACAAATGATCGCCCAGAAAATGCAAAGGAATTGGCCAAAGAAAAGGGCATAAATGTTGCCAAGTCATTTTTGAACATTAACGATTCAGGTAAAAAAAAAAAAACAGCACACATATAATTATACATGTTAGCTAGCTCACAATTTTTGCCAAAAAAAAAAATTACTCTATTTCAATGTGACATGACGTGTTCGCCATTTTTATCATCACAAAGGGCCCCTAATGTTTCCATCCCCATTTTTGTATCTCTCCCAGGTGAGAATCTCCCCCGTGAGAAGCCCAAACAAAACTGCCGAGCAGAAAATGGGCAAAATCGGACAAGTGACCACAGTGTAAATTCCCAGGGGGAACAGAAGACTACCCCCAACAAAGACAACCTGAACGAAGACAACGTCGACGATGACGGCATCGGCGAAAAGGAAAAAGCAGCATTGGAATTTTATGACGAACGGATAGACATTTTCGAAGAAGAATACGTGAACAAAAAATATAGTAAGATCGAAAAGGCAAATAAAGCCGCGGACAAGCTTCTCCAATTGTGGTCTAACAGAATTGCACTGTTGCTCAGAGTGCACGCAAAGCTATATATAATTGCACTTATATATACACGTCTTTGCGCACACGTGTACATGCTCGTTTTTTTTTTTTTTTTTTTTTTTTTTTTGTTCCTGCCAGGATTCTACACCAAAAACTGCGACTCGAGTTTGTGCTGTTGCGGATGCTTCATCCCCGTTTGCTACCAAAGTCAGAGGTAAATAAAGTTTTCATTTGTCCCTCATCAGGCCCGCTTATCTGTGCTGCACGTTTCATTCCTATTGCCCTTTCCCCTCCAACGCAGGCACGAGAACTACGTCAACCAGTACAGAAGCTTATACGCGGTGAATGTGCGAATAGACGACAAGCGAGTTATTCATGAGCACGAAATAAATGCAACGGAGAACGGTGACGACGGCAAATTAGGTAGAGGCAAACGCAGCCACCAGCACGGTGACCCAAAGATCCCACCCCCTGTGTGCAAAGAAGAGAACCAAACAGAGCTCGCCCAGCCCAAGTGTGAAGAAACCCCCGAAGGAGAAAAAAACGGGGAGGACGAAAAATCACAAATATATCACGCCGTTTTTTGTGAAAACTGCAATAATCATGTTGCCTATCTTGAAATAAAAAAAAATATTTTCCATTTTTTTGATGTGCTACCTGACTGAGTATATGCTCCATGCATGACTTCCTCCTACAAATTCGTTTTTCCATTGTGTCATTTGGACACACACCTCTGTGGGGATAAGCAGTCGCTTCCCACACCCTACGTGCTTGCGAATGGGTGAATACTTAATCGTCCCCGCAAGCACGTCTCCCCTTTGTATAAGTTTCACGTATGTGGTTTCACCCCCCGGTGACGCGACACACATATGAGTATAATTTTCATTCCATATTGTTCCTTATTTTATTTTTTTTTTCTCCATCCTCATTTGAGAACTCCGCCAATAATTCCACATTGAATTTGTTAAATTTGTTTTCCCTTCTGATGAATATTGATCCCTCGCTCGCCCAGAGTGAAAACCACTACGAATGTAAAATGGGGCTACGTCTCTTCCTACGTAGCATATCCAAATGGGACCCTTCTGTTGCACATAGCTTTACAGAGTGTTGTGCAGGGCGCTGTAAATGGGGGAAAGTCGCAAACGCAAAAAAAAACGCACCTTTTCGAAAAATTAATTCAACTGCGTAAAGTTATTGCTTATTCGTAATGCTTTTTTTTCACCTTGCTCTTTCTTATTCCTTTTTTCTTTTCTTTTTTTTTTTAAAAGGCAGTCGCGGCAAAAGCCCCGTGCACAGATACGCCTTTTTACAATGTCCTCGCGAACTACAAATGTGAAAAGAGCCATCGTGCCGTGTGACCACTTCGTTGTGCAGGCATCGTTTATGCATTTTTCTTGTTGTACAATTTTTTGCTCGCAACTTTTGTGCACTTCTCTTCGCCACGTAAACCCCAGGCGATGTCAAAAAAAACAGAAAAAAAAAAAAAAGTTCAACAATTATTGTTTCCCTTTGTTCCATACAAATTGCCATTCGAAGAGAAGCATAAATTATAAAAAAGGTCTCTCTGCCCTTTGCTCTCCTTTTTGCATATGGGATGACGCGAAATCTCATGGTCTACACCTTTACTGAGACCAAGAGTTGACATGTTGAGGGGATGACTGATAACCAACCTCTGGACGATTAAATAGCCGACCGATCAACCAACCGAGTCACCGCCCTGCGCGAGCTGCACACCGACAAACCCCATTTTGCCATCTCCGTTTAAACAAGGGGCGAAGAAAAAATGAAAGAAAGCAAAGTGAAAGGAGAAAAAAATGACAGAAGAAAAAAGTCATAACGAACCAACCAAGAATGAAAGCAGCGAAAATAAGTACCTCTCCCAAATTTACTCCTTCCTAAATTCCAGTTATATTAAAAGTTCATTTGAAAGTAAGCCTGAACATGGTCAGAACAAACAGAAGACAAGACATTTGTCTTCTCGAAAGGCCTATGGCTACCTCGTGAGGAGATTTAAGAAGGTTAGCATGGCGGCGGGCAATAGGAGAAGTATTCTCGTGTCTGAAATTTTGGTCCTACCTTGTTTGGGGGGGTACCTCTATATTACACCCCATATTCCCCAATGTGCAAAAGATTACGTGTATTCTCGCAACAACGCTTCCACCCTCATGAGACGTTCACCCCATTTTAATTATTCAGTCCCTGCTTGTTTCACATTTTTTTTTTTTTTTTTTTTTTTCTCTCCCCATCCCATTCGAAGGTTGCTATCGAATGCGACTTATACTTGGAAGAAATTCAAGTTAAAAATGAAAATGAGAAATTCATCGTTCAAATATTTGGGAGGAACTCCGTGACGTTAAAGAAGCTTTACAGAAAGAAAAAGATGATTGACCATTATTTTTTCCTCCTCATTTTGTTCAATGTCCTGTCCAATTTGCCCTATACCATTATACCAATTCAAAAGGTAAAGCACACGAAAATACTCTGCAATCCTGCAATAATATTTTTATAAAAAAAAAAAAAAAAATTGACACAAAAGGCACGTGCAAGAAGAGCACCTGCACACACTAATGCCCCTTTTCCTCCCCTTCAGTTTGTAGACATTTGCGACAGTTACATAACTCGGGGCGTGAAACTTCTGATGAAGTTGAATGCTTCCCAATACGGTAGGAAGAAGCGAATTCACAAAATTTACTTCGAGTCGGTAAGTAGCGCATTTGTCCCGATGCACGCGTGTATGTATTGTATGGTCTACCTGTTCAAGTTTGCACATACGCCCGTGTCCATCATGACATATTTCTCCCACCCCCGTAGGTTTGCCACCTATTTGTGTCAATCTGGAATAATCACTATTTTGATTTTTCCCTCTCTAACACCTTGGTAAGGAAAAAAAAAAAAAAAAAAAAAAAACTAGCTAGCCAAAAGGGAAAAAGTCCTATACATATTTTTCTTTCTTTTTTTTTTTTTTTTTTTATGAACTGTTCAGGTAATTTTGAACTTTTTTTACAAAATATACATTATTCTGAAAAAGCTGGAAATCCGGAACGTAAACCTGTTTGACAACATATACGTGCTGTGCGCGTCCTATGTGAACAAAATAAACTCGATGTTGTGGTAAGACGGGAGGGTAGCGCGATATGGCAGCGAATTCGTATTATCGCTGCTGCAGGGCGAGCCGCACGGTAGAACATATCACCGCTTCCCATCACTTCTCATCACGTCCCATAACTTCCCATCATGTCCCATCGCTTCCCCTCGCAGGTTCAGTACGTACCTCATCATCAAGCGGATGCTCATAGACGAGTGCGAAATAAAAATCATCAAGAAAAAAAAGACCTTCCTGATTTTGCCCATTTTCATCGACATTATAAAAATCCTGGACGTGTACGACGAAATTATAAAAAAAACAAACGTAAGTTCCTTGGTCAAGTTGTACGAAGAGCTGAAATTATTTCTCCTTTTTTTTTTCCATAAGTTGCTATACAATTTAATAACAGAGCAGGACATGCTTCCGCGAAACATTTTTAAATACCTCCAAATTAATAACAACATTGCGTCCAACCGGAGAAGGAGAAGTGGAAAGGGGGACGATTCCCATAAGAAGGAGTCCAGTGAATTGCACAACAGCTTTTACAAGTACACAAATTCAATCAACGAGAATTTTGTGTTTTTCTCATTTTTTGAAAATTTTTGCTTGTTTAACACTTTTACCGAAAAGGAAAAGACAAACGATTTTTTTTCTTCCCTGTCCCTTTCGTTCAACTCGATAAATTCAACCAGCTCTTCCAACGAAAATGATCCAGGGAGGGGTGCCCAGTACGAAAAGGGGCATGTCGAATCACCTGAACAAGGCTATAATGATGCCTTCAGACAAAATGAAGAAAGTGAAAAGTCGTCCCAAATTATAAGAATGCACAAACACAAAATTGACATCCTTGATATGCAATACAATCACTTCTTCATTCATAAATACAAAAATGAAAATAAATTTATTTTACTCATTAAGAGTTACTTCAATGATTACTTGTGTGCTCTCGTGAACAGCTTGTACATTTACTCGAAAATTATTTATTCCCCTAGGAAATATGGTGCAGCTGACTGTAAAGATGATGACGGTCGTGCTGAGGGGCACCACAAGGAAGGTAGCAACTCAGGGGAGGAGAATCAGCTAAATCGAAATGAAGAGATACACAAGACGGGTGAAGAACAGAGAGGGGATCTCCACGAGCCATCCCCTTTAATGGTTTCTTCGGAGGCACTGTCCTTAGGCCCCCCCGGTGAGAAGCGATATGACGCTGAGGAAAATTGCAGTGTAGATCGAACATTGGGCGGAATAGTATTGGATGCAGATAAAATGGCCCCAATCGACATTGGCGCTACCGACGTGACCGCGCTACGAATGGGCCCTGGTGAAGTGGGGGAGTTCCACCTAATCCACAGGCAGAAGGTGCAGCGGCAAGAAGGCAACGAGACGAAAGGCACGGGGAAGAAAAGGAAATCTGGAAAATTCCCCCATGCACACACAAAAATTGTAAACTCTTTAATAAGCTTCTTGGAAGTAATATACAAAAATATATTCAAAAAAGTGATCAAAAAAATACACACGTGCAAAAGTATAAGCGACTTGAAGCTCTATTCATACATAGAAAAAATATATTCAAATGACACGTACTACTGCTTAAAAAAAAGATTAAAAAAATTTTGCTTCGTTCTTTTCTTCTCCGTTACGCTCAAGAATTTAATTAAAAGTTATGTATATAAAATAAAAAAGGAAAAAGTAAGCAAAAAGAATTTGGAAGATTTCCAGTCCATCCTCATATACGACACATGCAGCTTCATCAAAATATACAACCAACTAAGTGAAGCCAATTGCAAAGATTTTTTTTCAAATAAATATATCAACTTCCTCGTGTATATAAAAAACATACTTACTTTGCCCCGGCAGAAACTACTACTCTTCCCGGTTAAAAACAGACACTTCTTTTTCTACATAAAGAATAAGCGAGTGGACATCCATTTTGACAGCTTCGTGGAAGAGTGCAAATTGAAATATCAACAAATGAGCGGTGAAAAGACGCTCCCCAAATTTTGCCAACAGGATTATTATGTACTTCCAAATAGTAGAAACTCACAAATTTCGCGAACCAAGTATTATGCAGCCGATGAGGCAAATCAGCTGGCACATCATCCAAGGACAAACATCCTGGAACAGGCCATTTACAACATATTTCAGTCTCTCAATCCGTTCAGCAAATTGCAAAGGAGAAGCGATGCGGATAGCTACTCCGGATGGGACGCTAATCAGGAATACAGCTCTATGAAATCTGTCCACGATAGGAAGAGGAATCCCTATAACAGCTCCACCAGCATCGACACAGACGGGTTTGTTCAGGAATGGAAAAAAAAAGGAATGAACAAAGAGGAAAGAAGAAGGAAGAATGAAGAAGAGGAAGAAAAAAAAAAAAAAAAAAAAAAAAAAAAAAAAAAAAGAAAAAAAAAAAAAAAAAAAAAAAAAAAAAAATTATGAACATGGTCAGGTGGAAAGTGACGGGGAAAGGCCAAACGTCCCAGCTAGCCAAAGCGAAATTATGAACAATTCTGGAAGTGAAAAAAAAAAATCAAAAACGAGTTCCCGCACGTCGGAGGGCGAACAATGTGATGGAGTCACCGCGCAGGAATCCCAGGGGAACGTCTCCAGTGGAGAGAGTAAAAGCGAAGAGGACAACTCAGGTGTAGAACGGCACTCTTATAACGAACACAGCTATAGTAGCCAATCAGATGTGAGCAGCCTACACAGCGGAGACCTCGAAGAACAAAAGTTCACACGGGGGAGGTCGAGCGGCAGCCCGTTCGAAATGACGCCGGAAGAAAGGAAGTACTGCATGAAGGTGTATATGAAAAATTCAAGCGACCAGTTTGACAGAAAAGTTATGATTTTAAAAAATGACAAAATTTATTTTTACAACTCTGAGTATTCCATATCATACGATTCCTTTTACTTCCTCATGGAAATAAAAAAAATATTCTCGTGCGATGGTTTCTTCGACTCACTCATCAATTCGCAACGGATAAGTGTTGTTAACTCTACTTACTCCTCCACGGAGGATGAGGAGTTTAACTCCAGGAGCGCTGGCAGCTTTTCATCCGAGAGCGGCTGGCAGAAGTGCGGCTTCGACGCGAAAATAGTTAGTGCTAGAGAGGGCGGCCACTGTGATGAACGTGTTTTGCGTCGTGTCTCCATCATGTCTCCGTCATGTCTACGTCGTGTCTACGTCGTGTCTACGTCGTGTCTACGTTGTGTCTACCTCGTGTGTGTAGTGAGCGCCTCCGTATACATGCCCACGTCTACCTCCTTCCCACCCCTGCAGATTTTCCACAACGCGCTGCGCAAAAACATACAGCTCATGTTCATTGATGAGTCATACGAAAAAATGGTGAGCAGGATAAACAGCTCCTTAGTGCACGAAACGGACAGGACATTCGAATATACACACTTGAGTTATGATGAGGGTGTGGAAAGAGACCTACTCTCCCATTATCTGCAACCAAATGTGAACGAACAAGGAGATAGTTCTAGTAGCTTCAGCTCCAATGACAGCAACAGTTCATTTCCGAATGGTGAGTCACTTGGGGAATCGAGCAGCGAAAGGCAGAGTGACACGCCAAGTGATGCACGAAGTGATCATCGTTGTGACTCGCACAACGGCCGTTTCGTGGAGGTGACGGAGGACGACTCTGGCAGGGATGCCACTCGTTCGTACGAAAAATTCAATTCGAGCAACGAGAGGGAAGTCCCACACAGCGCAGGTGAAAAATCCGAACGTCAGAAGGACACATGTCCAACTGGCGCGGGCGATGGAGAAAACCTGCTGAACAAAATTCTCGAAGACAATCAAGACCTTCTGCAGAGGAAGAAAAGTGAAACCCAAGGAAATCTCAAGAGGTACCCAAATTTAATCGAGTACAAGTATTCCTCAAGCACCACAGACATCTACGTAAGGCAGAGGAAATATTTTG